TGTTTACACCAGGGTGCCTCTGTGTCATAGTGGTACCAATCCCACATGGCTCATTTTGTGCTGGTAATAGGAAAGGCATCACACAACAACAGGCTGGTTATTCATCCCCTTGCAGTCTCCAGAGCTATGATCATCATGCTGAGAGCCAAAATGTCCCTCAAAATAAGGCAACCTTTGTCAGCATCAACAGATTAGAGTATGTGAAGACTTTACAGCCTAAGAAACAATATTGCCTTTGTTCTCTTTTCCTCCAAGAAGGCAGTAAACTACAAGCACTGGAGGATGTAATCCAAGTGCTAATAAATTATTGATGTCTCCCTTCAGCTTTTTACTTACTAAAAGGATATCAAAGCTCATTTTGTGAATGGTCCAGACGGATTCTCTTTCGCTGTATCCACAATGTGATTCACAAATATTGCACTAAGTGTTAATATTGAAGCAACGCAGTGTTCTCTCTTTACAGATAATAAGCAAAAGATAATAGACATGTTTTTGATTACACGGACTCATAAATAGATACAATGAAGGAAATGCCACTTATTACTCCAATAGACATTTGATTTCGTAATATAAAAAAGGCAGAACACATTATTAACTAGGAATACACTTTTTTTTTTTAATATTGAAAGCCTGTTGAAATCATTGTACTTGCTTCTTACAGATAGTCTGCACAGTTCTTTAGCAGCACACACAAGTTGTAGAACAGTATGACTTAGTTTATATTTAGCAAAACCTCTCTTCCAATATGCCTATTTGCACAAGTCAACTAAAACTATCTGTATTAAAATGATCTTTCCATTACTGTCAGCTTTGGAGCAGTATGTTCCTTAACAGCATATATTAATTTATGCTATTTTTTTAGAGCAGCACAGAAGTAATTTGAAGCCCTCATACTGCAGTTTTCCTGGTAGGAGTCTCCTCTGAACAAAAGGCTTAATTTTTCTCTCTGCAAGTTTTGGTGGCCAGAAATGCTCAGGTCTTGATAGCTGTTTCACCTCAAGACAGACACCAGGCTTCCAGGTATATCTTAAAAATGGTACCAGATCTTTGCAAATTTAGCTCAAATGCCATCTCCCACTAAACAGCAAAAAAACTGCCTGCTAAGTCGGTGCACTGGCCCAGCCAAGCTCAGATAAAGGATTGTCAACTTAACAATAGCAGGGCACTGATCTTAAAGTACACAAACTGCAGTTCCTGACTGCACCAGTCTCTTCTTGCTCTGAATAGAGGCAGCAATGCTATGTATGTTGTCTTTGTTTCTTGCTATCTGTTTAGAAAGACTGAGTGACCAGGCACAAAGCCTAGAAGAGAGAGCTAATTTTTGCAATATGGTATACATATTTTGCAAGCCAGCCTGCAAACTGCTTATCACATATTTGGTGCTATATACATGAATATTCATAATTAATCCGTGTTAGAATAGAGTAGAAAGCTCACAACGAACAAAAATAGCCCCTTCAGGCATCTCATACCAGTGACACTGATCCTCTGCATTTCTGAAATTAAAAAATGAGCTTCTTTGCATAGATTTTGCAGTACTCTATGGAGTTCAAGCTTCCTTTTTTACCCTGTTCCTTCAAGTTGTGAAGACGACCTTGATAAGAGAGATTGATACCTTGAATCTGGAGCTAGAGAGGTGGAAATAAAGGCACCTGGTGAGAGATGACATTTCCAAAGCTTAAATCTCAGGGGTAGCAACCTTCATTTTCCCTTCTCCAGTTCTCTTTCATCTCAAGGCTTTTTTCCCATGTTTTGGCTTCAGGTACTAGCAGAATTCTGACAGTATTGCAGGTGGGAAGATGTATATGCATGTGCCTTTCAGATTGAAAGCCTGAATTCAACTGGGGGCTACATATCCTCAGAGACAACTTCATCTCTTATAGGTGGAAGGGCCAATTAGTCAGTCCTTGGTACTGCTTGCAGCTGTTAGCCAAGCAACAGTCAGGACTTGTTTAGATTAAATAAATCCCACTTTATTCAACATCAAAAACAGAGTGTATGCAGTAATGAAAATAAATTCATAAAGTTGTTCAGGCAGTCCTGAAGCTCAGTGGGTATTAGATGTATTTATTAGATAAAGGTGACCATTTGGACTGGGATGGCAGACAAATCTGACAGGCTGAGCTCTGCCAGGTCTTTGTTTTCTGTCCTTGTCTGACTCAGCTTTTCAATTTGATGCTCTTATTCCTGGACTGCTTGGCTTGCCAAGCTGACACCTTTCTGGTGCACAGCCTCTCCCTGCTGCCTGCACAAATGGGACCCCCAGCTTCAGAGAACTGTCAACCCTTTTCCTTACTGAACAGGGATGCTTCTCCACAGCTGTCTTGTGATACACCAAAGCACATTTTTTTCTATCTCCCCTCCTGTTGCCTTTAAATGTGGCTTTTTAACAGTCCCTACAAGTAGAAATTTAGCACAAATATAAAGTTCAGCCCTGATTTCTCAGTGCACAGTTTTCTAGCTTGGCACATTTTTCCTCTAACCACAACACTTCATCATGCCCCAGGACCCATTTCATAGCATATATAAGGTCACTGAAAACACCTAGACAAACATACTCTAGCTAACCAAGCAGAACAGTTTTAATGTCTCTTTTCCCCTGTAGATCTTGGTGGGTAAGTCACAGGCACTCCTTATGCATTCTTTATGGCTCCTTTCTGTGTCCCAGATGTGACCTACTCCCTGCCCATCTGCTGACTGTCTTATCCTCCAGAGATCATTGCCCATTGCACCACTTACAGAAAGGAAATAGGGTATTTTAAATGTGCGTTTTCATGTGGTTTATAAACCTGCATTGTATTGCCTTCCACTGTGCATTTGACAATTCCTCTACAGGGCTGAGAGAAGTAAAAGCCAGACTGCTTTGAACGTATATATTGGGTGCAGCCAAAGAAATGCCATTCCTGTCATCAGGGGAGGACAAGGCACACGTATCTCTAGCTACAGTGGTAGTAGCTGCACTGCAGCGTGAGCCAGAGACATGTGAGGCAAAGGGAGTTTGTCAATTGTCTCTCATGGGCATCCTGCATCTCCAAAAATGGGTAGGTTTCTCCATCTGGCATCAGCCAAAACTTGTCCAATGCAATGAATATCCTAAAATTTGGATTTATCAGAGCCCAACTTCTAGAAAATATCAGTTTGGTTTTTTTTTTTTTTCTCTGTGCATTCACACACTAAGCATTATTCTCTGCTCTACAGTCCTTCTAACCAATCTCTTACACAGACTGAGTGCCTTGAAACCAGAGTGGAGTTTTCCAGAGCAGCATGCCTGAAAAAGCAGCAAGCATGTTGTGGCAGGAGTTGAAGTATGAATATTAAAGTGAAGGTTGATGCTTCAAGAGTGTTCAATTGCCTGTTCACAAGATTTTTATGAAGGATTTAAAAAATATGCTGCTCCAGGGCACAGTGAGAGAAATGGATCAAATGAGATGAGCGACACAAGAGTGTAATGAAACATGAAGCAAACATGCCAAAGTAAGATGGTGCAGTACACCAGTCCTGATCAGCAGGAGGGACGATCATGACTGGATGCACTGAGTGTAAGATGCAGGCAGGAGCAAGAAATGTTGAGAGTGCAGGGAGTTTGCAGGAGGCTGCAATTGAGAGGGGAGACCTGTGCAGGAGGCAGATGAAACCACAGCAGAGGCTGAGGCCGTAAGGAGGATAGGAAGGTGCAGGAGCAGCTGGGTACCTCCATTTCCTGTGCCAGCTACTCCTCCGGGAAAAAGGAGGTGAAGGTGGGCAGCAGGGTCGCGATGCTGGGGCAGCCCCGGGGCTCCGTCCCAGCAGCGCTGTCCTCTACCCCCGGTGCGCGCGTCCAGAGACCAGGGAGGGAAGCGGGGCATCCCCGGGCTGCGCCGGGCAAGTTTGTCCGGCTGCTCCGTGCGGGAGCGCTTCCCCAGGGCAACCTGCCTCCTCCTCCGCCTTCTCCTTCTCCCGCTGCCAGGCCGCGTCCCGCCGCCAGCCCGGGCAAAATGCGGGTTCTGGGAAAAGCGGGGAAAGTGGCCGGGGCTGCGGCGCCGGCAGCGGGGGCGTTGAAGACGCGCTGGGAGGGGGTGCCCGGCTGCGGGGGCGCATCCCTGGGGCGGGGTGGGCGGGGGCGCACTCGTGGAGGGAGCAGCGAGGCTATCCCCGAGAAGGAGACAGGAGGGGACACCCTGGGAAGGGTAGGGGTTCGGAGGTCGTCCCTCGGGAAGGGGGGGTCACACGCCGCATCTCCCAGCCGCCCGCAGAGGCGCGTCGGGAGCCGCCGGGCGATCGCCTGCCCACCTGGGGGGGCCGGGAGCGGCAGGGACACCCCCCACTCCGCCTCGTCTTTCTCTCCTCCCCTCCGCCGCCTCCCTCCGTCCCTCCCTGCCCGCCTGCCTGGGATGGTGGAGGGAGTCCGGAGCACCCGGCAGGGCGGCCCTGGGCGCGGGGGCGGCTCGCCCTGGCCACGGTGCGGGGCGCGGCCCGCGGGGGGCTCCGCTGTCCCGGGGTCCGGCAGCCGCCGCCGCCACTGCCGGTGATGGCCAAGGATGTCCTCGGAGGGGGAAGCCGAGGCGGCTGCTGAGAGCGGGCCGGGCAGCACCCCCGCGCCGGGGGCCGCCGCCGCCGCCGTGCGGGAGGAGGTGAGCGGCGGCGGGGGCGTCCGCCCCGGACCGGGCCGGGGGAGACCGGAGGGGCAAAGGCAACCCCACCGAGGGGCTGGGGGCGGGCCGACGGGGGCGTGGGGGAAACCGGGGAGCCGGGGCCGGAGGAGGGGGCCCCGACTGGGGGGTTTTTGCAACGCGGGGAGAACCGAGGAGCGTAGCTACAGCCCGCCCGGCTACCTGCAGCCGCGGTGCGGTGCGGTGCGGGGCCGTGCCCCGCCGCGCCCTGCAGCGCCGGGGCCGCCGGCGAGACCCCAGCGGCCGCGCCGAGCCCCCCGCGACGGCGGGGCGACCGCAGCCCCGCTGTCGCTGGGTGCGGGGTTTTACCGACGGAGCCCCGCGCTCAGCCGTGCGCTGCTGCCGGGCTCGGGCGGCCGCTGAGCCACCGGCCCCGCACCGGAACGATGCACCGGGGGGAAAGCGGGCCAGCCCAGTTGAAGTTTGGCTACGTGAGCCCCGTGGCGTTTGGCCTAGGAGAGCCTACCGCTTCCCTGGGACCTGTGAAATGGTCAAGACGACTGCAGCTTTGCGAGGAACTAGTGGAAGTGGCCGGAGGGACATATTGAGCGTGAGAAGGGGCTTGCAGCCTGGGGGTCTGTGGCTTTCAGGTGTTTTGGGGCAAAGGAAGAGGTCATGCCTCTCCTTTTCCCTTGGGGCCTAGGCACTCCTGTTACCTAATCGGCAGTAGAAGACAGTGGAGAAAATATAGCTTAGTATGTTTCTTCAGGTCATCTGTGAAGCACTCACTTTTGCCTTGCATAGCATAGAGAGGGAATGATGGATGTGTCTGAGTGTTGACACAGAATCCTGAGCCACAAGGTATTGGCCAGACAGAACTGCAGGGCTGTGTGACACTAGGTGACAGTGCATGTGCAATCCTGCACACTCAGGACAGCAAGCTACCCTGTTTTAGAAGTGCCTGGGGATTTCTTCTATACCTAATGTAGCCTTTGTTTCCAACAGTTTTGACACGTCTGCCATTTACATTGTGTAATCCATGTGCGGATCATGGAAGTGAGTGAATTTTCTTTGTACTATGCAGTTTACAACAGATGTACATGCTCCCAGGAATACAGAGAGCAGCCTTGAAGCAGGCAGAGAAGACTGAAAACATAAGTGAAAGCAGCCCTGGAACATTGTGTTGTACAGTTAGTCTGCCTAAAGCTTTTGTTAACAGGTCCCATGCTCATCAGCAGTCTCATAATCCTATAGTCAAGATCCAGTAGCCTCAACAAAGTCTATGTGACTCTACAGTATACTTAGGCTAAAACCAAACAGCACTTTTTAAACCACCTTTAATTGAAAATTGACTTTACAGCTCAGGTTGAAAAACTGTCCTCCATAGGTGAAAATTAGGGTTTTCTCCTGTTTGATTGCTTTTTAAACACCTGTGACACAGTTCATCATGAAGAGCTGTGGCTGGATCCAGGATACAGCTGCTGTTCCAGTGGTAGAGCTCCCCAATGTAATTACAGCCCTGCAGAAGATCAATACATGGTTAATGCTGGAAGGGATTTTTTGATTTATTTGGTCTAGGACCAGGAGCTACTGAAGGCTTTCCAATACATTAAGTACACCATGAAAACATCTAAGCCATTTCTAGACACTAAAGCACTTGATCTCTCTGCTAAGCACATTATATCTTGCTTCACTCATCCTGTTCTCAGTTTTTCTTCTGTTCCAACACTAACATTGCACATTTGAGTCTATATCTCAAATGCTTGTAACAGTGATATCTTAACACTGCAGTCCTACAGTATTGGTCCTTTCCTCATGCTTTCCACATCACCATGTAAATAGATTTTTTGCACCTGGACCTGCAGTTGCATGTAAGTGCCCAGTATTGGTATTAAATGGGCATTTCATGGGCTTCTCTGTTCAACCTTGCCATTCATGGATTTCACTTAGACCAAATGCATGGACCTAAATGGTGACAATGACTGAAAATTGCCTTTGTTGGGTAATAAATCAACATGAGCTATTAACAGAGAATGTGTCTGAAGTCTACGTTTTTATTTTTAAAAGAAAGACAAGCAAAGGTGCGGCTGTGGAGCAGGAAGGAGCGTGGCAGTTCAGTTACCTGTCATGGCCCTTGCCTTCTTGTGCCAAGGACCATATAGGTTTAGTGCTGACTTTGCTGAATGTACTTGTTCTGTACTGGCAGAGTCAAACAGCTGTCCATGCCTGGCTTTATCTTCTCTTCCATATTTAAGAACTTTAATTGGGCATGACATAATGTAATCAGTTAAGCCATTTAAATAAAAGGGAAAACCTCACGGGTTGATGTGCCTGAAACCTATGGTCATCGGCTCTCTGATGGAGATGTTGCAGAAGAGAGAGGCCACTTAAAACTGCCTCATTTGCCTCTTACTGCCAGTGGGAAGTGCAACAGAAGCTCATTTGAAAAGCGCTGTTTGTGGTCACAGCAGCACCAAGGGGGTGTTACAAGTTAAGAAAAAACACACAGTGCTTGTTTGCAGGCTACTGCTTCAGAGGCCGTCAGGTCAAAACATAGCTGGCACCTTTCCTCTTAAGTTTGCCGCTGAAGAGATATCCAGTTCTCCAGCTTTTTTATCCCTTTCCCCTAACATTTATTTAATTTGTCAAGGCTTATTTTATGGCATTAAAAACACCAGGCATAAAGCCCTTAATAACTTAGACCAGTTACCTTTAAATTGTCCCCGTCTGTGGGCTGAGTTGTACCCAGGTGGATGAGAGGTGGCAGAGGCAGCGAGGGGCAGACAACCTTTTCAGGTTTATCAGGTCCGCTGTACATGCCTGTTCTTCACCAGCAAATCTCCACAGTCTGATCAACTCTGCTCCCTTGCAGATCTGCAGGAGCCCATTTACACACCCCTGCCTCTGTGGCACCCTCCTCTTTCTTGATAGTCCTGTCATTTCCAAGACTTCTGTACTCATGAGAAACAAGCCCAGGTGCAGGGGATAGAGAGAAGGGCAGGCACAGGGGCTGTGATGGAGGATAATGTTCCCCACCACCTTTTAAGCAAAAGTTGCAGAGGGACCATTGTGTATCAATCTCCAGTGAGAGGCTATCTCTATGTAAACCTCCCCCTTCAAGAGCTGCGCAGGGCCAGAGGAGGACAGGAAATGTGAGACATGATTCCTAGGGAAGCTTCACTTTTCCTTCCCTATAGCACTTCCAGTCGTCATGCAAAAGACCTGCTCAGCTAACCCCCTGAATGATAGCTGATGGTTAGCCTGGTGGAAGGCTGTCACCATCCCAAGTGAGTATGACTGACAAAACAGTTCTTTTTTTTAGGTAGTGCATGATATTCCCTCTCTTGAGTGAAGGTCAAACAGAACAAGACCCTTTCTTCCCCTCCTACCCTTGCTTTATTTCATTAAACATAAACCAAGTAGTGCTCCTCATTCCTTGTTCCAGATGACTTCCCTTGTAAAGACAAAGGAAAAAGTGCAGCAGGAGTGGTATCTGAGGAACTGGAAAGCTTTTTTGCATGATCCTACAGTTCCAGGCAGTATTTGCATTGCAGATTCTGTCGTAAGAATATCCACGCTGTAAGCATCGCGTCTTTTTTTCTGCTTTTGTTCTTTTCGATGTCCCACTTTATCTTCTGATCACATGTCTGTTCTTGGTGCCCTGGAGTTGGCTGTCTTCTCCACTTCACTTGAGAAACTGTCAAGGGTTTTAAAAAATAGATAGGAAATATCAAATTAATGTATCTGAGCTTTGAAGGGCAGCCTTGGCTCCAACTGTGTGGGATTCTACAGGCAGAGTCTTCCGTCCTCTCCAAAGAAAGAGTGTGCCTCGCCACTGTGGCTGAGACTGAAGTGAGTTGCTCCTTCTGGCTGACTTTCCCAATCTTGCCAGTAAAGGAATTTTCTCAATGAAACACTGGGCTGGAGCAACTGGGGAACTTGTGTGGTTCTGCCTCTGGAAGGTTATAAGGACAATTTAGGCAAATAGCTGTTAACTATGTAGATGTTGTCTCATGGGAAAGGGACAGACTAGTGCTAGGGGTGGTAATTCCCCTTCAGACCTGGTTCCTAATGCTATTCTTTCAGATAGACAGTCACCTGATACCAGCGGAAAAGCAATGGGTCTGCACACTTTTTTGACCCCCCAAATACTCTCCTGGTTCTCCCTTTCTCACTTCAGAGACCCCAGATGATGATCTCCCTCAAGAAGGGAAGTGTATATACCAAGGATACTTTTCAGTGAGTACAAGTCATTGCAAGAAGTGAGGGAGGAGGTATCTTCTTCCTGGGAATGGAGCACTTTATTTCCTCTCATCTGTTTCTACACTTTTGAAGAAAATAGCTCAAATCATTGCCAGTGACCAGGGACATTGTGGAAATAGAGAATAAAAGCAGTGAAATATCCCCAAGTGGTTCCATAATGAGTAGGGCTTGTTTCTAGGTGTGTCCTGGCACATGGTCATGAGTTGACACCAAAAGCAGTGGCTGCTGAGCTATCTTCAGCACCCTAAGACTCTTCCATTGTTACAGTGAGACTGTTACACTGTTAGACTGTAGATAAGGCTGTGTCTGAGTTTCCACTTAGAGTAGGAGTTCTACTTTTTGGAAAAGCATGGTTAAGCAGTTAATTAGTTTTTAAGTTCTAATCATGGAAAATATAGTTCACTTTCAGACTCTAATCGTTCATCATGTTCCTCTGAGCTTAAGACCTGTAAAGTTAAAAATAGCACACACTGAAACTTTTTGAGGTCACTATTGCTGTAACAGCTTTGTGAACTCCCCAAAACTCTAACAGGGTAGCTTCATTTAAACAGCACTGCACAAAAGAGCCGACACGGTGTTATGGTGGGGATGCTGCTGCAGTGGAGCTGGATGAGTCTCTGCCAACAGGAGCAAACAAGGCAGGTCAGGGGTTGAAGCTGCCTCTGACAGCCACCCATGTCAGCTGCTCTCTGAGTGCTGGCTGCTCTGCCCACAGCACATCTCTGCAGCCATGAAAACAAGCAAGAAAAGTGCCTCAAACGGGCAGGACAGATGGTGAGTGGGAAGGATGGAGGAGCCTGGCTGTGCATGGCGCCAGTAGCTCAGCAGCACCAGGAGGCTGGCAGCCCTCCTGGTGTTGAGTTAAAGTTGTGAAATGGTGTCTGGTTACGCTGGCAGCCTCTCTCAAGGTGCCACACATGCAACTGGGAAAGGATGAAGGGGCTCACGCCCCATGAAATGCACAAACTTTTGACTTCCAGGGCTTTACATCAGGTGAAGAATGTACAGAGAATTCCAACTCAGACATGGCATTGTTTCTATACATCTGAGGTGTTGCACATCCCAGTTCAGCATTCAGCCAGCAGAGGCCTTCTTAAGGAAAGACTGGTAATACTGGGCCTCTGGGCAGGTGGGTGGAAACAGCCAGCTGGTGAGAGTGGGGACCAGCAAGGTAGGAGCTCACAGGAAAGAGCAAAGAGCAGATCACAAAGCATCACACTCCTGGCAAGGAAGCTAAAAGTAGGTAATTGAGGTGACTTGCAAATATGGAGTCTGAATAATCTGACCTTCCCAGGGAAGAGAGTAGGATCAATCAGAGACTTTTGCGGATCACAACATATTTGTCTTTGGGAGATAAGTGATTTGTGGTGATGCATTTATGGCTGGAGGCCTTCTTCATAGCCATGTGATTGATTGCCCTTAGGAGCTGGACTGGGAATTGTGGAATACAACATTCGATTAATGTGGTAACAAAGTGGTTCAGCATGGAGCATCGGCATCTTACTTTGAGTACCTCTTGCAAACCAGCATGGTGTGTCCTGGAGGACACGAGCTAGAAGAGCCTGAATGCCCCAGGCACAAGCCAGGCCATGTCCCTGACCCTGCAATGGGCAGAGGAATCGCAGAGCACTGTGGAGACTGGGGTTGCAGCATCTGCCAGGAGGGTGATGCCAGCATGAGTGTCCCTCTGAGGACCAAAGAAAGGAGAAGAACTCCCTCATGGCTGCCTGGAGGTAAGATGGCCAGCCAGAGGTGCCAGTACCTGGTGGAGGAGGACAATAGTGAGAGCATGTGCTGAAAATGTGGGAATGACAGTCTGTCTTCAGGCCTGAGATGTTCTGTGGTCCTCTGCAGGGGACTGACTGTCAGCAGACCAGGGCAGGAGCTAAATCCTCCGCTTCCCACCAGCTGATACTCGGAGTGGCAGGATGCAATAGCTCACATGCAGATGAGGTGCCTTCCTTCCAAGTGGTGCTTCAATGCTTATGTGAAATTAGTTTATAAATGCTATTTTTTCAGTGTCTTCAGGAGGTATAAAAAAGGTGTGCTGGCACCATGACATGGGTCAAAGTCAAGTCAAGAAATAAAAATGAGGTGTCCTGGATCCCAGGATCCCTTTTAACCATTTAGTGCTTAAATTAATTTCCAGTTAAGTTTTCACCTGATGTGCCATCATGTTATTGCAGAATGTGTCACAGAGAGAAGCAAGAGGGAGAGAAAAGTAATATTTATGATGAAACCTTGTTTTTCACAGAAAACATTAGCTGCTGGGATACTACCTCATCTTAACCTGAGTACCCTTATAAAAACCTGACAGTGATGAGGTTGCAGCTGTGTTCAGGAAGGTGCAGAGATGGGGAAACACACTCCCACATCTGACAGAGCAGCTGAAGCCTGAGCAGTGGCTGAATATTATTGCAAGGGATGCTCATCTCAGCAGCACGAGGGACCTGACATGGGCACAGACTCAGCTGCAGCAGCCCAGCACTGTGGGGCTGGCAGTTCCTCTGCTGAAGTGTGGCTGACGGCCTCCAACTGCGAGGTCACACATGGGAAGGCTGGAGGTTGATAGGTCAAAGCACAGAGCCATATTGTTCTGATTTTACTAGAATAAAAGGATGGCATTTCAAATAAATGAGAATAAAAATAAAATGTCGTGGTTCTGGGCAAAGCTTCATTCACAGTTCCCTTTGAAAGACTTCCCCAGACTTCTCTGGAGCTTGGATCAATCCTGGATCATATTTCTTCTGAGGACTTGAGAGCTGTTTCTATATACTCCATTTAAATCCTAAGGTGTTCCTTTAGAGTAAGCAAAGATTAAAAAGTATTCATAATAATTAACTATTTTTCTAATTTACAAATTCTCTAAACAGAAGCATTTGATGACTAGGCTGCAAACAGCTGGTGCAGAACTAACACTCCACTGGCTTCTTCCTCACTAGGCTGTCTTCCCTGGCCCCCTGCTTCCCCCCTGGAGAAACTGGTCCATGGCTGTTGTCTAGCTTGGCTTCACATCAGTTCCTCACTTCCCCATGTTGATGTTGAGGGAACGTCGGGCAGGACACCCAAGACCTGTGGCGATGATGAGAACAGTAAGGCACAGGACATGGTCCTCAAGGATAAGAGCACTGGTGACCCTGGGAACCTGGGAGTGGGAAGGGACAAGCTTTAGTACACCACTGAACTATGGCACTAACATTCCATGCTGCAGGCTGATCGTGTGCACAGCACAGGAGAACACACACTGGCTTGAGCACTGGCAGCCTCCTGCCCACTCCTCTCCTTCCCCTGGAGAGCTGTATCTTCTGTGTAAACTGAGGGAGAAGCAGGTTTTACAGGATTCCTGTTAAACCCAGCTGAGACTTCATCAAGCACACAGAGGCTGGTAGATAGCTACTCTCCCCCATTCTCCTCCCTCCTGTCCCCATCCTTCCTGGACTGAAGCAATGGTAGTTGGTCCCACCATCCCTTCTGTTTTCCTTGGCTGGTGTCAGTTTTCCCCTCGTCTCAGCAAAGCCACTGGTAACACCAGTGCACCAGTCAGGAAGTTGCACCTAGCTGATCCCCGAGGGCTGTGGCACCTTTGTGTTGCCAGCAGCTTGTCCAGGGGTACAGGGAGCTGGGTCTGGCTTTCACAGGCTGTAGCAGACTAAAGCCTGCTCCTGCCAAGGTGAGGACAGCTCCACTCTGCAACCACAGGACAAGTGGATAGATGCATGCTGCCATCAGCCCTTTCAGGATTTCCCTGCAGAGTGGGAGCAGGGGCAAGGGCACCTGCCCAGAAACCTCCATGCAGCAGGACTGGCTGTGGTAGGGGGCAAGCAGCTGGCTAGGCACGAAGCAAGCTGAAAAATACTGAGTGGCACAGCCTCATGTCAATCACTTGGTCTCACTAATCTGGCAGTGGCTGGGAACTGCATCCCAGGAGCTTTCCTGAGGCTATGTGATGCGTTTATCAGTTAACTGGTAAGTGTTGAGGTAAGCCATGTTATACCTGTAAAATTCATCCTGTGTCTACCAGAAACCACAAATATGCAAGGCAGAAGAGTAGGTAATATGAACTAAGCATGATGGGTACTAGAAGTATAGAAAAAAAGAACTGTTCTTAGAGCTACTCTCTTGCTCTGAGGCAGCTCAAATCCTAGCTGAATCCCAGCTTTTCTTTCCTGATGAACTCATACCCAGCATTGGCATTACTGGGAAAAATTCTCTGCCACCAAGTGCGCTCTTTGTGTTGTTACCAAGTCAAAAGCCAGTGACAGCAACATAAGCAATCTGGGGGGAGAAGCAATGATTTTGTTAGTGCAGCATTTTTGTGCTCTTGTAAGAAGCTGCCGCTAAAATAGCCGTAATTTCTATTTTGTAAATGGTGACCACTTTGTTGCTAGGATTCCTTGGAACTGAAAATGTAATTGCACAGCTTTCCTTGGAGCAGCATGTGGAAGTGTCACCCATGGATGTGTCTAGGGCCAAATTCTTCACGACACTCACATATGTACCCTTGCATTTTAGTGAGTGGCTTTCCCATCCTGCTGCAATGAACAGCATATATATTGTCTGGGATCCAAATGTCTTTACTTTCTGAGATTTCCTTTATTTCTACTTGAAGAACTCAGGAGTATCCTGCAAGAGTTAATGCTGAATCTGACATTTAAGAGGACTGGAGGCTCCTTCCATCCAGACGTCTTCTTTCCTCATCTTCAGATGCTGGGTACAATTCCTAAGGGTGAATGTTGTGAAATAACAGACTGTATGGTATTTCAGGGCTGGCATCTGAAGTTCAGGTGGATCAGCAATATTTGTGTCTTTTCATAGTTTTGACTTGATGCACCTTCCTACCCTGAGGTGTTTCTCCTGACAGCTCCGTTGATGGAAGGAGGAGATTGAATCTCTGCATGGATTAAAATGAGAAACCAGGTGATCCCTGCTCACCACAGGAGGGCAGTTGCCAAAGTGAATGTCTGAGTCAGTGACGCTACAAACACTTGGAGTGCAGATTATTATTTTCAAACCTAGTAACAGCATTTCTGCTGTGCATTGACAACATGGCCCCTGCCTGCAGGAGTTTTCATTCTCACAGGAGTTTTGTGGCAGAAGAGCAAATGGTGCATCTAAAATATACGTGCAGCAACCAATGTGCTACTTGTTCATGGACTGCAGTGCAATTATCTTTGATGCAAAATGACTTTTTTTTTTGTTGCCTTCTATCTCTTTTATTTCCTTTCCCCCTGTGCTTGCAGCCATGCTGATAGCACTTGCTACTGGCTCAGCATGAGTTAGGGGTAATGGGCTTCTTGTCGTTCAAGATGGATGGCAGGAGGAATTTTGTTTCGGGTTCCCCAGGAGGGGATTGATGAGATTACTGTCGTAATATCTCCCTTTTCCCTCACCAGGCCTTATTACTGATACCCCACGCAGTGCCCAGGTTCGGTCACATGGTGAAGGAGCACTTCTACTCACCGTTACACCAACATCTGGTTTAGCACAGCCCTGCAGGCTCAGTGTACTAATAAGGATCTGACCTAGGAGTTCATTTGGCCCTGGAAAGCATTAAGATGTTCTACTGTGACACTTGTGCAGTCGTCTTCTCCCTGACCACCCCAGACGCCAGGATTATCTCAGGAGCTGGAAGATGATAGATGCACCTGCATCTGTTGTGGCTGCTTTGGGACAGTGGATAGAAATCTGCTTGTTCTTCTTGTATCATCCCTGTCCACTGTAGAAGTGGTGAAGCCTTTTCTCAGCACCAGAGGCTGGTCACAGTGTCAGGGCTCACCTCAGTTATGATTAACAGCACAGCCTAGGCTAGGCTTTGTCTATCAGGGACTCAGTGGTCCTCTCCGTGTTATGTCCTGCTATGTCCATCCAGAGGTGGGACCAAGATGAAGAAATCTCTCATAGTTAGAAAGAAAATTCTACTTTCATCCAGGCAGGTCACCATCTGCCAAAGTGTATGACTTGTGGCTGTTAATTATTCCTTCCCATTTGGGTATCTCTTTGGGATGTATTAATCACAAGCATAAATCCACAGAGGCAGTTTCAATTATGACTGGTATTAATTTATCCACCATTCTTCTTTCTTCCCTAGTTTTATTTATTTTCTTCCAGTTCTCTGTCAGTGCTTCCACCACTCTTTTTTTTCCCCATGGACAAGAAGATTATTCTTGCTAAGTAAAAGAGGTAAAAATAAAAATATAAGATTGGCTCTGCTTACACGAGTAATCCCAAGTTGGGAGGTCATTTTGTTGTTGAAGACAGTTAAAGACACCCTGTAGCCCCAAAGCCGGGTCTTGGCAGGGAGCAGGAACATGCTGTGATGCTGCATATCTTTCTGAGACACAGCTGCAGCATCAGTCCTGCAGCATGCTGTCACCTCCGTGGCCTCTCTGGGCCAATTTAGCACAACTTTATCCCACCCCCCAGGCTGTGGGGAGGAAATAGGGACATAGATCTGTTTTTTGGAGAAAAAACAGCAGCGAGAAAGCAGCCATTCAGGAGTAGCTGTTTTCCAGGTCATAGATGGACTGGGAGGACTGCTGGCTCATACAGTGCTTTTGTGCTGTCAGGCTCAGTGCTTCTTCTGTTGATGTTCACCTTGGTCCTTTCTCTAGGGCTGATTCCCTCCTGCCCCTGCCCAGGCTGGGTGGTCTCTGTCCTCACCTGACAGCACCCTTCCCCTGCCTCAACACTGGCATTTGAGCATGTCTTGTCTATCCTTTTCCGTCCTTCACTTCTTCCCACCTTCCATGTTTCCCCCTGATTTCTCATTTTCCATTCAGGCCATGTCTTTGCTACCCTCTGCTTTCTCTCATTCTTTCATTATAGACATGATAGCATTTTGCTTCAGCAAAATTGCAGCTCTTGAGGTCAGCCACCAAGGACAAATGCACGTGGGGTTTAAAAAGACAGGAAACAATTTTGGCATGATTTCCCCAAAGGAGAATTTTAATGCTTTTGAAATTGTGGAACACAGATGTCCGTCTGTGAACCAGATACAGACAGTCAAACTTGGGACCCAAACTGTCCACAAAACAAACAGAATAAATTCATGCTATGGCAGCATGTTTTCTGCTTATACAGCTCGTGCAGGAGTTTTCAAGGAGACTGAAGAATGAAGGCTGACAGAAGAGGAAAAAGTCGTTTTGTCAGTAGAGATCTATGAAGGAATAGCAAGGATAAGGCAAAATTATAGATCAAATTTTTGAAGAATATGATTCTGCATTGCCTTTGGACACAGACTATTTCTTCACCTATTGTTGTCAATTTGGCAACTTTCAGTTCAAATTTATTTTGCCAAAACCAGAAGGGGACAAAACAAGATTTTCCCATTGTCACTGTAACCATGTGCATGCTGTAAGCATTACTGAGGCAGCTAGAAAAAAATGGGCTTCAAGTCCATACTGCTAAACAGCTACTTTTGGAGTAAAATACAGCTACTGATGAAGAGCATACAGTAACAGCAAACTAGGTGATAATGTGCTCTACTGAAGCTTTGGGAGAAGTTCTCTAAGTATTGTATGCAGAACTGCATGTGGAATTATTCCTGGCAGTGAGCACAGGAAGTGTGAGGAGCACCTCAGTGACCACATAATGCTTACAGCCTTGTTTTTGTGATTGACACTTAGCTTTGTGAAAACAGTTGTCTTGTATAAGTTAATGGGATATTTAGCCATTAGACTGGCAGGGTTCTGCAGGAATAATTACCATATATGACACTACCCACTGGAATTAAGCATAAAATTACTGCTGGTAACATTTACAGTTGGCACAAACATTAGCAGGCAGGTCTGTAACGATGAGACAAGCACAATTCTCTTAAGGGATCTGCTTCATTTGATAATTTAGTTATTCAATCCAAAGCCAAACCTGAAGTTACACATCTCAGGGTGGAGAGTGCAGCCAACCCTTCAGCTGTCCTCAGAAACAGTGACTCAAAAAATACCTGGGAGTCAAGAGAGTGAGTGGTTGAACATGAATTCCTGGGATGTTGCTAGGCAGAAATCTACTAATGCAACTCTTGAAGGCAGTAAAAATGGGGGGAATCAGTGGGAATGGAAGGTGATTTTATGTTTTGCTGTGATGACAGTGAAATAAGTGCTGAACTCCTGTATTTACTTGCAGGATACAGACTTCAGAAGGATCTCAAGGTGCTAAAGAGAGGGCAGAGCATCAAAAAGAGCTAGAGCAGTGAAGGACTTGAAGACCTTGGCTCATTTAAATTGTCAAAAAGAAGGCTGAGGGATGTAATAATTAGCATGGAGAAATATCTTCAGAGAAAGAAGGCAATCATATGAAAGGAGTCTTTCATCACTTGGAGAATGGGCATCCTCACTGCCATGAATGGGGGCTGAAGTGAGACAAAATTACAATGGCAATAAAATTTCATCACCAGAACAAATTATAAAGAGGATTGCAGGTTCTTCATTTCTTTTAGTCTATCAGTTAGAATGTCTTTAAAGAAGATGAGCTTTTACCAGCCACTAGTTATTGGGCTGTACACAGGATGGTAGAGTGAAATTGCATTGTCTGTGAGATACAGGAGCTATGGGGGAAAGGCATAGTGTCTCGCAGTCTTAAGGTGTAAATGTAATTTGGGTTGTAATATAAGCTGAACTTTTCTGACCCAGAATAACCTCTCAATGTTGGTAGGAGAAATTTCTGTGTCTCCCTATAAGTGCTAAAGAACTGTCTGGCTGTTTGTTCTACCATAAGGATCCCTGCCATGTGGCTAGTGGGAGAGTCCTGCTATCAGGTATGCTTGTATCCAGAGGTCAGCGAAAGCAGTGACCCAACACTGGTAAAACAGAGGCTCCAGAGTTTCAGGTTAGGTACTCAAAAACCTGGGCTGGTGGAATCAGTCTGGGCTTCTCTGAGTGTGGCAGTGTGTCACTTCCTCCTCCTGCTAAGGGACAGCTCCCATGGAACAATGGGGATACCCAGACCACCTCAACTTGGACCTTGGGGAATTGATTCATTCTTATGTACTTGTCAGGAGAAAGGGGACCTTGACTGACAAGCACAATTCGCTTACCCAGAAATGTTCTGGTTCTCTAGCATCATTGTTACATTTCAAGTATACCTTTTAAGGAAAAATCGGAGTTTGAAGGAAATTAATTTTTTTCATCCTTGGCCGCCCCCAATGCAGTCACTTGCAGGCTCATACAGCATGGTCACCAGCTACAACTTACCTCCCAGTGTCCTAAATCTGGTCGCTTGTGAGGAGTCAAGGGATGGGTCAAAGAGACAAACCCTGGCCACCAACCCTTTGCTCTTGCCACCAGAGCACACTTGGCTCCAGATGCTAAGCAGGGGGCATGCCAGGCTGTGCGCTCCCCCTCCACTCTCCTTCCACCCCTTATACTACACAAGATTAACAGCCCAAATCTGCATGATCTTGTAACACAGACCACGTTTTAATTATTTTAATTATGGTTGCTGCAGCCAGAACCTGGTCTGGCTGCTGTTGAGCCAGGAGGAGTAGTGGGTGGGTGTGCCCGTGCAAGGGAGGCTCCAGTCCGCCCTTGCATACCTGCTTTTGATCTTGGGCATCTGCCATCAGAGGGCGTCTTTGAAGGCAATTGCCCTTTCAGCCACTGCCTGGATGTTTTATCATTTGCAAACAAGGTTTCTTAAAGGAGAAATAATCGAAATGTTGCCAACCTGGAAACTCCTGTCTGCTACAGGTGGCAGTTGAAATTCCTGTTTTGCATTGGCAGTTAGGGCTTTCCAGACTATTTTCCAGCAGCTGTGGCAACAAATTAAATAGCATCTATCATTTAGTGTCTTAGAATGCTCCACACCACCAGGCAGCAAACAGAGGATGGGAGGATTTGGAGTTGACTTCATTTTGTGTGGTACACAGGCCCTTTGCTCTGCTTGAGGTTTCTGGAAATGATGGGCCTAAGAACCCCAAAGCAAATTCAGAGCAGTGCTGTAGGGCTGACTGACTGTCTGGGACAAGGGACAGCTCGGGGCAGGGCCATCCCTAAACCTTGTCCCTCTCCGCAAGGCTCACAGCACAGACACCGACAGCCCTCCCCACACATGCCACCTCTTACTCATGGCATTTTCCCCATTCATGCTGAGATCTACTAGAGAAGCTGGCAAATATTTTTTGATTATTGTTTTTAAGTGTGAAAAATTAAAGTGAATTTTAGCATGTGATTATGGACAGTTTGGTAAGAGTTAGGAATTTCCAATCCAGTCGGGTGCAATGAGAAGAGAGGCCTCTGAAAGTGGTTCAGCAGCATGCCAGAGCATAGCAAGGTGTTATTTACAGTGTTTATTTTTAACACAACTTGAAATTCATAAACAATGATACTGACAGCTCAGCTATGCTTCTTCACAGCATTCCTTCCAAAACAGGAGATATTTACAAATTTTACTATCATGAGAGCTGGTTGGGACCTTTTGGGTGAAACATTTGATTTGACAAATTCATCCCTCTTCACGATACGTGGTTTTAGAATCAAAGAACAGTTTGGGTTGTCAGGGACCTTCAAAGACCATCTAGTTGCAACCCCTCTGCTATGAGCAGGGACATCTTGCTCTAGACTAGGTTGCTCAAAGCCATGTCCAACCTGTCCTTGAGCACTTCCAGTGATGGGGCATCCACAACTTCTCTCAGCAACCTGTGTCTCATTTAATCTGTCCTGATGTTGACCTGATGTTTCTCAGGTCAACGCTGGAGCAAAGCCTAAAGGAAAGCCCCCGCAACCAGGAGAGGAAGGACACCTCTATAGATTTGTGTTAGACTCCCAAGTCTGCAAGTACTGGCTCATGGAAAAAGTGCCTGGTGACTGAGCCTCCATCTATTCTGGTTTTGACTCTGGCTTTCTGTTAGGCTCCCTGTCTTTGCTTTCTTCAATTATGTTTCTCTATTAAGATTTTCCAGAAGTTATGCTTTTATTCCACATCAAAACAACACGGATCCCACAGCGTTCCTCAGAGGACTCAATTCCCGCTCACTGGCTGACCCAAGTTATCATGGAAATTGCTAGTTTCCTTAAGTATTTATTGTACTCATCCAGAAATACAAGCTTGCCCCGTTTTGATCTGAAACACTATGCATGGAAAGGAGAAAATTTCACGTAGTACCACAAACATAATTCTTGCAAGAAGGTGGTATGTTAATTAATAAAGTCTGGGAGCCACTGGCTTAATACATTAATGATTTTGTTACGCAGAGACAGATGAAAAGATATATTTACTTATTAGATTTTTGAACGTCTGATACCTTTATTGTAATTATGTTCTATTTCATGTCTTTCTTACAAACACTCTAGTAGTGTTTCTAATAGTATAATTGTGTTAGATAAATATTTCAGTGAAAGGAAGGAGACATAAGGGGATATAGACCAGATGAATGTGTTCAGAACTTGAAATAGGTGGGACAGCTGAGAGGTAGATCCTGGAAAAGAGATCCTTTTGTAATGGAGGACTTCCAGACAGTGTGATTTGCTTCGGAACAGTGGTGGGAATGAGATGGTGGGTCAGAAGAGCCAGGAGAAAAAAACTGTGTTTTCACCAAAGGGTTTTGAACATGAAGGTCCTGCTGAACTGGACAGGTAGGTGTATGAATCAGATGTGGCAGTGGGTTCTATGGCTGCATGCCTTCAGTAATACAAAGACAAGAGAAGCTGCCTTTTCCACAGGCTGCAATGAAAACAGTGGAGAAAACCTGGCTTGGGCTGATCCAGCCCTTTCAGTGCAGTGGGTTGAAGACCATTTTTGAAGTGCCTCCAGAGGATGCATACAGAAATGTCATCTTGGACCTGCAAGCCTCAGAGCTACTGCTAACCCAGCTGGATGCTGCTTCAGGACTGGTGAAACCAGAGCTATCTCATCCCCCAGAGGTGAGATGGCATTTCACAGAGATAAGCAATTAGGAGGCATTTGCCACTCTGATACAGCCACTGATTGCCCTAACCAGCGGGGCTGCTTGAATCACCCCTTGGGCAGAAGCCAGCCTTTGGGTTGTAGGTTGGGCCACAGAGAAGTTGTTAGTTAAGGAAAGTGCGATAAAGGAAAGGTGGGATTGCAGTGCCTTTGGCAAATAGTGCTGTAACTGACGTGGGACAGCCTTCTCCCAGGGCTGTGCCCAGGGACAGGTTGACAGCACTTCCAACAAGTCATGGAAAAACATGGGGTTCCTGGAGCTGCATGGACTTCTTAAGCACTCACGTTAAAACTGACTGCTGGGTGTTTTTTGCTAGGTCCACTGGCATTCTTCACAGCATTAACCGTAAGCGATTTTACATGAGAGGTACCTGTGAAAGCCTGAATGTGAACATGAAGTAATGTATTAGAATATTGCCCAGCTGCTTTCTTCTGCATAGTCTCAGTGCCTGGAGTAGAGAAATGTTAATGTTTAGAGGTTTTTTTCACCTCAAAGAACCTTCAGGGGAAAAAAACAAAGGTAGAGCTTTGCAATTCTTCATGGTTTTGCATTAATCTAGCACTGAAAAACTCTAGTTTCATGTCAAGAAGAGACAAATGATAAAAAACAGTAATTTGAAGTGGATTTCCCATGAGTCAGGAGAGCCTGATGCTCATATGTGGAGTTCAGGATACAGCTGGGGCAGAAGCCCACACTGGAACAGTAAGCACTCTGAGACTGAGCAGTGGACATTTGACAAGAGTTTCAAGAGATGAAACTCTCCATAACTGCATGTAGACTTGGCGATTCATTCCCAAAACTTCTATAGTTATTTTTCAGCTGATTTAGGGACTGCCTGAAGCCACTTCGTGGAGTTCTTCAAGGTTTACTTGCTAACGGCTACGGAAAAAAGAACCTTATTCTCACCCGTACTAAGGTCTTTTCACTGCCCTACCTACAGAAGTTATGAAGCCTGTACTATATAAAACACTTAGCTTTTCTCCACCTGTTGTACCTGCTGTAAAGAGAATACAGCAGCCAGAATACAGCCCAGAAGAGTCATTCTTTATTCTGGCACATGGATACATAAAAAATTTTGGAAAAAGAATAGAAATTCTTGCCAGATTTCTTCTGGATGCATCAGGAACAATCAGGTCCCAGATTCTTCCCTAAGTCCCTGAAGGTGAATACTGATGCAGCTCCTTAAAATCAATAAAATTGCTCTGCACTTGCACAGTGTCAGATTAAAAGCTATGAAATCAAAACCAAACCCCATGAAATCTAGTTTTGCAGTGTTCATAGCAAGTTGTAAACCCCTATATAGTTACCTAGAAGTGGTTCTCTGTCTCAGAAAAAAAAAAAAAAAAAAACGGCAGCAGCATTAAATCTGATTCTACAGCCCTTCAAGGTTAGATGCCAGTGCTTCCATCTCATTGAGAGGACAGCAAACTCTTCTTTCTAGTGGCTCCATGCTATTATTTCCTGAGTCATAAGATGCTGCTACTTAAATTCCTTTCTGGTTCAAGATCACTTACTGAATCTTAACTGCTGAAGGTCCAAGATAAGCTTTAGCAGAGGAGAAATTTCTCTGTGGAGAAACAAAAAGAAGACATTTCCTGAACCTAGCATCTGTTGGCATCTATGGAGCAGTTTGATGCATTAGAGGTGGCCCCTTGGGACAAGGAGTAACTGTGTGCTTCTATTTTTGCATGAAATCAGGCTCAGCAGAGGGCATGATGATGCATGAGTATCAGTGTGTATCTGCTTTCTCACTGGCATTTCCTCAGTTAGGGGAGAGGCAGAGGATGGCAGTAACAACACGGATGCAGACAGCCCTCCTCATTACCTACTAGGGCAGCAGGGTGTCTCTCTTCACGCACTTTCTACAGACAGGCAGCTGCCAGCCAGTAATGTAACTCATGCTGCTGCTGCTCTTTGCTGGGAGACAACTCCGTTTCCGCTAGCTGCCTGGCTTGATTTGGCATTTTTCATACAGCTGAACCTCGCATGACAATGCAGCTGATATACTGCGCCAGGGCTGGGATAAGGACTGCAATCACGCTGTCTCAGGGGACAAAGTGGACGTACAGGAGTGCGAACTCTGGCTCTACTCGCAACCTGATTTTTGGAACTCGAAAGAGAGGGATGTGCTACATTTTAAATATTCACGCATACACCCTCAGCTCCAACACTTAATCTTTCAGGTATTATAGGTCAGAGCTAGTTTTCTAACCAGCCTGAAGCTATGCTGCATTGTGCTGTAATCTTGACAATTTTTCCAACTAAATGTGCTTGAATCTAGTAATTTTCCTGATGGCTCACCTCCAAGAAAATGGTGTCGATCATTTGGTTGGTTTCAGTGCTGGGTGTGAGTCAGCTCTGAGTCAGGCAGCAGCTCTAGCTCCATGAAGTGCTGGTCCTCCTGTACTGGCACAACCTGTGGGGCTGCAGCCCTGCAATGGATGCTGCTCCTGAGCCTCCTCGACAGCAACACACGGGCACGTAGGCACCGGGCACTTACAAAGCAGTGGGGCGAGTCCAGAGCCCCACACTTTTGGCTGTTCACCTGCTGTGAAGCCCTCTCAATGTCAGAAGATGGCAGGGTGTGTAAATGATGCTGGCCCCAGGCAGGAAGAAGGAGATGGGAACCTATCTTGCCCCCTGAAGAGGGGTCCATCTGACTGGGGTGCAGGCACAGCAATTCACTGCCACACAAACAACTTCCCTCCCCAGAGCCATGAGGAAGCAAGGGAGGAGCTTTGTCCAGAGCCCTCTGTCCCTGGCAGGGTATTTCTATTTATATTCACATTTATATTAAGTAGGGTGGTGTCCCAGTCAGACAGTTTGAGAGCAAAGCCAGACACGGTCTTGAAGGCAACAGTCACTGTGTGTGTTGTGCAAAGCGGCCTGACTGACGGGTTCCTCGCTCTCTCTTTGTCTTTCTCTTCCCTTGCACGGCGGTGTGACTGAAGCAACGCCCCGTGAAACAGTCCCTGAGTGCTTGCATGTGCCGAGAGTCCCACTGGAAATGCCTCCTCCTCTCCATCCTCATGTACGGCTGCCTGGGTGCAGTGGCCTGGTGTCAGCTGGCCCGAGTCACCAAGCTCAGCTTTGATAGCTCCTTCAAGGGCAAGTCCATGATCTACCATGACAGCCCGTGCTCAGATGGCTATGTCTATATCCCACTGGCCTTCCTCTCTATGCTGTATGTGGTATACCTGGTGGAGTGCTGGCACTGCCATGTCAAGAGAGAGCTGCAGTACAAGGCAGATGTGGACAGTGTCTATGAGTGCATCAACCGCATGCAGCAAGCCACTCCGTGCATCTGGTGGAAGGCCATCAGCTATCACTTTGTACGGCGAACACGGCAGGTGACCCGGTACCGCAATGGCGACGCCTACACCACCACACAGGTCTACCATGAGAGGGTCAACACACACGTGGCTGAAGCTGAATTTGACTACTCGCACTGTGGATACAAGGACATCTCCAAGGAGCTCCTGGGCTTGGAGAGCCATACAGCCACCAAGTTGAGGTTCACCAAGTGCTTCAGCTTTGCCAACATTGAGTCTGAGAACTCTTACCTGACTCAGAGAGCTCACTTCTTCACAGAGATCGAGGGGCTGGATGACTACATGGAGGTGAGGGAAGGCATGCAGCTTAAAAATGTGGATTTTAAGGAGCTTATGATGGCCTACGGAGACCCGGATCACCTCCCGTGGTACGTGTCCCACTATGCTTTCTGGGTGGCAGCCATCCTGATGATTTCGTGGCCGCTCAGGGTACTCATAGAGTATCGGACTGCTTATGTCCACTACCACGTGGAGAAGCTGCTGGGCCTGGAGTACACAGCCCCCACCGCGGCAGAGGAGCCCTTGTACCGGTACCGCATGCCCCGAGACACCACGCAGGACAGCACCGAGCTGGAGTGGCACATCTGCACCAACCGGCAGCTGATCCCAAGCTACTCGGAGGCCATGCTCATGGACCTGGCCAACTCCCCGACCTACAACACCTACACAGTGTGTCGTTACGGCGAGGCAGCCCATGGCTGTGATCGCTGCAACCATACCTCCAGCACCTCCTCCATCTTCTCACGCCATGCTTTCCACAGCTGCAGCGGCAACTCCCGCCTCTCCCTCAACACCAGCCGCTTTTCCCTCTGCCGCATTCATGGCTCCCACAGGACAGGCCTTTGGAGGAGCCGCAGCAGCAGCATTGCGGAGCGGGGCTGCCAGGATGAGCAGTGCTGCTCCTACTCTAGCCAGCTGGCTGTCAACGAGAGCCCCCCAACCTACCACGATGCCCGGTTCTTCCCTGTCCTGATTGTGCACAGGCCGGAGGGGCACGATGGGCGGCATTTCTACGTCAGGCGTTCTTCCTGTCTAGAAACCTCTCTGTGACAAGTTTCTGTGGTTATTTGGCTTCTCTGCCCCGGGACACAGATTTCAGAGGTGCCACCAGTGGGGAGCCTGCAAGCATCAGTCTCCACAGCAGGTCAGCAGGATGAGCTTCAGCTCTTCCCCCTTCAGCAAGAGGACATATTCACTCTGACCAACAGATAACCTCATTTCCAAGAACTTCTCCCCCTCTGGCTGGTCTCCCTAGTCTTTTGTTCCCCATTCCTCTCACTCTTTCACTCCTCACCCTTTCTCTGCTCCTCGATTCCCTGCATCTCCTCCCATTCCACCTGCATTCTTTTTTTATGTTTCAGTCACCTTTAACTGCTGTGGATGCTGGAAGATTTTTAAAGCCTGTGCTTTTCCAGTACATTTGCCCTCTTGGATGCTTTGCAAGGTAAGAAACTCAGATAGAGCAAGGTGCAAGGCACGTAGCCAGCCAGAGTCAACTCAGAAGCAGAATTCAGATCTGCAGGTGCTGAGTCACCTCCTGCAAACCCCAAATGAAGTGCTTTTTTTATTATTTTATTTTCCCCAAACTTTTTTCCTCTTCTTCTGCTATTCCTTCTCTCCTTTCTTCATGTGCTCCTCCTCTTGCTTTACCTTCATCTTCATTTTTTTAGTTCTCTTATTTCTGCTTTCCGGTTTTTCTGGGGTTTTGCCAGTGAGGATATCTTTAAGAGTGTAATTGGACAAAAGTAAGGTTGTCACAGCACAAATGTCACTGCTCACATAGCCACAAATTATTAGGCCCCTGAGAAGTGCTAAGGACTTTCTTCCAGGAGCCGTGACATACACCAATAAAGCAAAATGCCCTTTGCTCACCTTGCCCTGCCTGGTCTGCAGCAGAGACACTGCTGTGTTTCCAGCTGTAGTTACCCTTGTCCAGCTCCACCCTTGTTAGCAATCGTTGAGAGCCATAATGTAGATCAGTGCTCTGTTAGTGCCACTATTTTTAGTACTGTAGGTCTGTGGTTGTTTCACTCCTACCACCTGCTCAGCACAGTGCAGGCTTGACAAGGGAAGAGGGACTGGAGAGGGAAAGGTAAATATGGTATTAACCCTCCCACAGGGAGTCTGGAGCTGTTAGGAAGCTCTTCCACCCACAATGTCTATTACAGCAGTTGTCGGACTGCTCTACGTTATCTTTCAGCTTTCTGTGTGCCCTGGGGAGGGCTTTTGGCCCATAGCCCACTGCCACCTTCCCAGGCAAGATGCAGTGACACCCCAGCCCCAGGCAGGGAGCACAGCTGGGAGCCAGCCCCACTGGCCAGTCCTGCTTGGACCTCCAGGCTCTTCCCACAAGGCTTCCCCTGGAGCAGGTGTAGCATCTTCCGGAATTAGTCCCAGCCATTCCAAATCCATAAGGTGTCTGGTCTTGACAGAGCACCCACTGCACTCTGGGCTGTGGGATGCCCTCCAGATTAGGCCAGAGACCCTCTGAGAGCCAGGGACGGATGCAAGAAACTTGTGGCCACACTGAGGACCCACCAGGGACCTTGCACCTGCCAAACCTCCAACCCATGAGGGATGGTCATATGCTGAGCAAGCTCCATACCATTTTGTCACGAGGCTGGTGGAGATTGTTGTCTGCTCTGACTCACAAGAGAATGCAATACAATTGCAATATGGTCACTGTCAAGAACAAAGTGTTGTGTCACCCTAACTTACAAGTAGGTAAGACACTGAGCCCCCAGAGGGACTGGGAACAAGTGCTTCCTCCCAGGTCTGTTCTGTGTGTATCAACATGCAATATGAGATTTGTAATGTCATCTTAGTTTGTGTAGATTATATGTAAGTCTGCAGACTAACGGCATTGACTGTTGCACCGTGTTAAATACATTTTGTTTTGGTTTTATGACTGTTTTGATGTGCTGTGTTTATTTCAACTCCAGAAATGGAAACATTGGCAATACCTGGCTAACCGGCTGCAAATGATGGAATCATCAGCAAGGTTGTTTAAATTCCTACAAGTTGATCTTTTTTAATGTAAATACTTCGTGTGTGATTTATGTGATATTTTCATTCTGACAGCTTGGCATTTATCACAAAAGATAGATAACACATATGATGTGATAGTTTATCACCTCTAAAAAAATAACCATCCCCGACACGTGGAAAAACCAAGTTTGGGCTTGGAGTAATGATTATGGTTGGGCTGGGGCCAAACTGGATAACATTGAAACTTAGAGAAAAATCCAAATTTCGATCCACCATACAGTAATCCCTAGACCCCCATGTACACCATGCCACCTGCCACCCCCAGGGAGAGATGGGAGAGTTGGGGAACTAGGAAAGGATCAGGCCTGAACTCAAAGCTCAGACTCATACCTGACATCCTTTTATTCTGAAGATGAAGCCAACACAAGTCTTTAATATGGTTCCCTGTCCTTATCTTTATTCACACAATAAGTTAAAACCAGCACATATGAAAGATGTAAGAGCTGGAGGAGGCTAAAACAGAGAGGCTGGAACATTTCAACACATTTGCTTACTGAAGAAGGTGGTAGAGAGGAAGACAAGAAACAAGAAAGGAAAAGATGGTAGAATAATATAAATTAAAAGAGAACAGAGTTCAGCTGTAGCTAACATAATTCCCAAATGAGCAGCATAACTCAGTTATGGCAAGCTTAGCCCTGATACAGGAAGGATGAGTTTCAGCCGTCCTGTGAGCTGCTACTGCAGATACCCATGACTTTAAATACCATACCCAAGGTCTTGGGATAGCCAGTTTTGTATTATGTATTGTATTATGTATTTCAAGATGGAGAGTTATATTGGAGTCCTCAGAAGTGGCCACATTAAACAGTATTATTATCTGACATGAACAAGCTCTGGCAGTCCCCCTGTTATGATGGATTGGGCAGAGAACTGAAACAGTTTATATGCAGTTTAACCCTTTTCCGTGTCCTCAAAAGCCACTGTATTATCCAGTAGCTCTCGAGCTGTCCCTGGCAGGGTTTGGAAAGCGTTGAGGGTTTCTGTTTCTGCAGCCACTGTGTTCTGGCCCAACTTTGGGGCTTTTATTTGAAAAGCCATCCCTAAGCTTCAAAAGCCCTCTCACACATGGAGCTTCCTACTGTGACTTGCTGTAGCCTCTGGTGGCGACCAAAAAGTTGGGAGCAGCTCTTGTTCTAGCCTGGGACTGAATGTGCTGGCTTCAACAGATCTCCCACTCAGGAAGCACCTGAATAACCATCTGTACAGCAGAATTACCTCTGTATTTTAGCAGCCCTTCATTACTACTTCTTAATCACTCTTGCCATTGCCACAGCTTCCTGATGCAGAATGAGGGATCTGCTCCGTAGCAATGTAGGGGTTAACACTGCTCTTCAAATCCCAAGTCAGAGGATGGAGTGGACAGATTCTTGAATAAGAGTGCAAACCAGGCAGCGCTATGGAAAAAATCTTTTACAAAACACAGGGATTTTGTATCCAACTGCAGATCGACTACTTTGACAATGGAGTGGTGGCATGCACCAGTAGGTTTTGTTGAACTTTTAGGGCTATGGCTTCTCATGTGGACATGGGTGTTTTGGAGTGCTTTCTCGCTGGGATAACCTGTCCCAGATGCCCTGTTGGGTCTTAATAATTAGAAGAGGCTGAACAGTAAAGCAAAGTGAGGAAGTCCAGCAAATACTTGTCTTTCTCCTGCCTTTTCTCTCTCCCTCCCCCTTCCTTTCTTTTTTCCTTGTCCTTCATCTTCTCCCAGCACTGGGAATTCACCACTTGATTATTGTGCAGCTCTTCAGACATTTTCTAGAATGTGCCTATGCTTCTCAGCAAGGCTGGTGAGATGTGGCAACACGCTATCGTAACAGAATAAGTAAGGAAAGGATGTGACCCAGGGAGGCATCAGTGGTGTTCTGTGTGAGTGAGCAGTGAGCACTGTCACTGATGTTATGGCCTATAGAACAAAGCCATGGTGCTTAATTCTGTGGCACAAGAGGTCAGGAGAGATTATTTGTCTTTAGTTCCTAAAAGCATTTCAGACTCACCAGTTCCTCTGATTTCTGCATGGTAATAATCCTCCATAAGTTTTCTGACTGCAGTTTACACTCCAACTGGCAGTGCATGCAGGATTTCAGTCCAATTTTCATATGGCTCTTCCTGCCTATGACTGTTAGCACAAAGCCATTCTCAGAAGAGCTGAAGCCAGATCCCCTGATGGGGAAGGTTCCATTTGGTCTGCTGCTTCAAGCAAACCTTTGGTCTCTTGCACTAGCCCAGAGGCTGGCCTGTGCCATGCCACAACAGCTTTCTGTTGGGTACTCTCCTCTTTGCAGATAAAAGCTCCCTTCTCCAACCCCTTCCCAAGCCTTCAGGAGCACTGCATTTGACATTTGGATGAAGCACAACATGCCTGTCAAGGTAGAAGTATGCTCCAGGCACACCATGTGGAGTCAGTGCTCCCTCGGCTGATGCCTTCCCAGTCAGGCTTGGCCAAGTCACAGCACTTGCCTGTGCCTCCTCCCTCCTGCTTGTGCACTGGAGTGCTTCCTGAGCCCATGGGAGCAGCGTAGTGCTGTAAGCCTCTGTAACTGTAAGGCTGGAAGAAATCCTTAGAAGGAAATCACCGTAGAAACACAGCATTATTCTATGGCCATTATTTTTTCTCGTGAGACAACTAAAGTCTGCAAAAGTAGCTTCTTTCTGAAAGGTGCTATTGCCATGAGTAAGTGCAGAAACACACCGTGCACCCGGATAGATGGGTATATATGGATACATGAGGGAGAAGACAGCAGTGACAGCAAGTGCGTGTGAAGCTTTTAGCAAGCACTAGTGCAGAACCTCTCAGCCCAAGAGCTGTCGTGATCCCAGAGAGAGGCATGGCACGATTTCCTGTCTCCAGGAGCACCTAGGCTTTCTACAAGCTCTCGAATGGATGGCTTGTCAGTGTCTCCTCCCAGCTGCCTCATTGCAGCAGGAGACACTGGGGAGGGAGTGACATTTCCATTCCAGTAATGAAATCTTGGCATTGCTCCAGTCCCCTAGGAATTCCTATCAGAAATGTAAATGACTTGGGGGAGGGAGGAGTGAAAATTAGAGTTTGGAATGGAATTATGTGAGCCTGTCCTGCCTCAGTTTCTCCATTCCCCTCTTGGGGATAAGGCAGTTTGCCTGCACTCCTCCGTTTAGCCAGTTTTCCAGAGTATACTGCAGGAGCTGCTAGGCAAGTGCTGCTCACCGATGGCTGTGGCAGAGCCGAAAGCTGCATCGTGTTGTAACGATATTGCTCCTTATGGCGCCTTTCAACCCAGATTTCCTACGAAAAGGCAGCGCCAGATTTTTTAAAAAAACTGTAGGTGACTTTTTCCACGCCGTGCTAGTAACCCTGTGGCAGCAGAGATCTCCCTCCTCAGCTTACTCCCTACTTTTCCACTAGCGGAAAAGAGGGCACGGCCGAGCCGATCCTGCTCGAAGGGCACGGGTGGATCTCTTCACCTTGCCGGTGCTCCACCACAGGTCAGGGGTGGTCCACAGGGGTGGCCGGTATCCCCAGAGCCAGGGTCCGAACGGTGAGGGGAGCGTGGTCGGGGGAAGGAGCCGGAGAGGGCCGGCCGGGGAGATGGGGTTGGAGATGCTGTGTGCATGAGGCGGGGTGCCGCTCATCCCGGCAGAGCCTTGGTTTGGGGGGGCTGAGCCCCGGTGGTGGCCCCAAGCCCTTCTCCCGTGAGGGGCTGGAGGGTGCGCGGGGGTCCTGAGGGACCAGGGTGGCCTCCTGATTCCGCAGGTAGGTAGGGGGATAACCGGTGCCCCGGCAGCTCCTGCGGATGTGGGTCACCCCCTCCCTGCGCTCTGGAAACCAGGCCGCCCTGTGGAGCAGCCCTCGGGGGGCGCCGCCTCCAGACACCTCCTTGGCCCTCTGCCGCTCCCGGCCCGGCCCGTCCCACCCTGCCGGGGGCTCCGAGCCCCGGAGCCGTCCCGGGGCGGCGGGGCGGGGGCGGCGGGCGCCGTGATTCGCCGCTTGGGGGGCGGTGGGCGCCCGGCTCATGCATATTCATGAGCGTGATGTCAGAGGGGGAGCACAGCGCGCGGTGACCGCTCGAGAGCGCCATTTCCTGGAGGAGGCGGCGACGGCTGAGTAGGGACTGACGGACGGACGGACGGACGGACGGACGGACGGACGGACGTGCCGAGTGGCGCCGCGGTGGCTGCGCGCCGGCAGGGGGAGATCGCCCGGCGGTAGCGACCGGACCGGAGCGGACCTGACCCGACCCCACGGACCCTCGCCGTCGCCCCGCGGCGGGTTCTCCTGCGGCTCGTTTCGGCCGGAGCCGCAGCCAGAAGTTTGAGCGTCCCCGTAGCCCCCCGGGCGAGCCCGGTGTCGGGCGGCGACGCGGGGCTTCCCCAGCCGCTGTCGCCGTCACCGCCGCCTGCACGGGCGGTGGGAGCCCCCCGCGGCGCCGGGAGCAGGGGGGAGGATGGTGGTGCGGGAGCGATGGAGCTGAAGCGGAGCATGGCGATCCCGCGGCTCCTCGTGCTGGGACTCTGGGCTGCGGCGCTCCGGGACATCGCTGCCGTGGCAGGTGAGCGGGGCTGACAGCCCGCCGGGGCGGAGGGTGGCGGTGGGGCAGTGCCCCCCGAGGTCTCTGGGCGCTGCGGGAGGGGCTGCGGGGCACGGCTTCTGCTGCTGACAGGGTCCCCCCGCGGGCAGCCCCCGCCTCGACGCCTCTACAGGTGTGGGCAGGGGCTGAGGGCGAGAGCGGGTTCTGCCGCCGACAGCGGCCGGATGCCTGCGGACCGGTCGCCGCGGAGCGGGGTCCACTCGGTGCGGCGGCCGAGGGGCCTCGGGCAGCCACAGGTGGTGGTCGGGGCCGGCCCGGTTTGCCCCTCCCGGCCGGGCGCGGGGGCTCC